AGAAAAGAATAAAGAGAGTAGAGTAGAATCCAAAATGAATAGAATAGAATCCAAATTGAATATAGAGTAGAGTAGAGTAGAGTAGAGTAGAGTAGAAAAGAATAAAGAGAGTAGAGTAGAGTAGAATCCAAAATGAATAGAATAGAATCCAAATTGAATATAGAGTAGAGTAGAGTGGAATGGAATGGAATGGAATGGAGCTGGAAGGGACCTTGGAGGTCTTCTAGTCCAGCCCCTGCTCAAGCAGGAGAACCTATACCATCTCAGACAGGCGAATGTCCAGTCTCCTCTTAAAAACCTCCAGTGATGGAGCGCCCACAATTTCTGGAGGCAAGCTGTTCCACTGGTTGATTGTCCTCATTGTCAGGAAGTTTCTCTTCCATTCCAGGTCCAAAATGTCTAAATATTTTCCATCTCTAGGCAGAGAGAAAGATGGGAAGGTATGGAGGTCCTTGCTGCTCTCTGAGCTTTGGTGGTGTTCTTGTAGATATTTCATCACCCAACTAGGTGACAACATCAGTGGCCAAACCAGTAACAACCGTGTTACTAATTTAAACAACTGCAGCGCTTCATTTAACAACTGTGGCAAGATAGGGACAAAGCTCGCTTAAGAAATTTATATAGCCATATAAATATAAAACCCGAACTGACTCATATTTACGTCGAGGATATGACGCCCGTCTCACTCTGCAAAGCCACAGTTTTAAAAGCTGTGAAGAGGGAAGAAAACTAGGATTAGGCAGAGATGTACCAGGCCTTGACCCAGAAGTAACTTTTGGAAGTTTCAAGAGCACCTCTGCTAATCTGCCTCATCTATTTTATACAGTTGTTCCCGGCTTGCTTAGATTGCATTTTGCAATTACGTTTTGGTTTTAAATCTAAGCTTATCTAAAAAAAAAAAAAAACAAACCCCAGTAGATGAACAGGATAGAAATGACAAATTATTATCATTAGTTACCTCCCTTTCCTAAACCCCGCATGTGGTCTCAGCTATTTCCTTGGTGACAAACGTGTTTAGCGGCGAGCTCTGGGCCAGCGCAAGTACAAATTAAAGTACGTTTCTTCCCAACTTTTCCGCAGAAAAAAATTCAGACGTCTTTCAAAGCAATAAAGGGGAATAGATGTAGCTGGGGGTCGAAATGAGGGGTCCCTGTTGCTCTCTGACCTTTCCCCCCCCCTGGACTTTGCTTGTCATGAGGTTGCAAAAGGGGGTCGCATGACCACGGGACTCTAGACGGTCCTAAATGTGAGTCATTTGTCAAGCATCTGAATGTAAGTCACATGACCAGAGGGGGAAAATGCTGAAAGGGTCGTAAGTGTGAAACACGGATCATAAGTCCCTTTTTTTCAGTGCCGTTGTACCTTCAAACGGCCACTAAGTGGACTAGCTGTAAATAAAATAATCCCTGGGATGTGTAGAGAACAGCTACGAAGAAGAAGAAGAAGAAGAAGAAGAAGAAGAAGAAGAAGAAGAAGAAGAAGAAGAAGAAGAAGAAGAAGAAGAAGAAGAAGAAGAAGAGGAGGAGAGGAGGAGGAGGAGGAGGAGGAGGAGATGGCAACTACAGCCAATTCTTGTGGCTTCTTAAAGAAAAGAGCACCGGTGGTCCTCGTCTTAACCACGTTTCATTTAGCGTCCGTTTGAAGTTACCACAGCCCTGATAAAAGGGACTTGCAACCAGTCCTCGCACTTACGACCGTTGACGCAATTCCCCACAGTCACGTGATCCAAATTAGGATGCTTGGCGACTGGCATGTATTGATTTACAGCCCCCATCTCCCTTTGCAAACTTCCCAGCCGGCTTTCCGTCCCACAAAGTCCAGATTCGCTTAACGGCCATGCGGTTGCGTGAACGGCAACGACTGACTTCACAAGCGCGGCGAAGAGGCGAAGCCAAGGCCCCAGAGAGGCAATTTATCCGTGTTTCCCCGTGCAACAGGAAGGGAAGGCTGACTTTCTTCCCTCCCTGTCTGGAAAGCGAGAAGGGGAAGGCAACTGGGGTGGGGGGACGGGGGGGGGGAAAACTACTCTGGCCTGGCATCAGATCCAGAGCAGTAATCCACAGGGCTGTTGTAACGCTCGCCTTGTTTTGACAGCGAGCGTGGCCCGTTGCCAGGATGATAATCCAAATTGGCCATCTTTGGCAACGCCCTTAATTAGGAGGGTTTCGATTGCCGTCCAAGATACGCAAAGGAGTGCAGGGCTCCTTCCAAACAAACAGCTCTGCCCAACAGCCAAAGGGCTTTAATTGCCCCAGATTGAATATGCTCTCTTCCCCGAAGCTCCTGGAAGTCCCAAGCTGAGCCCCGTTAAATTGGCAGAGTGGAATTTAAGGAGATCTTCCCGACTCCCTCTGTAGAAGTGGTCGTCTTTTCAGATCCCTCCCAGCCTCCCCAGAATCCACCCTTGAGTAGAGTTTGAGCTTGGCGAGTTTGGGGGTGCGCGCAATAAATGGAATAAATAAAAGGTGGACCAACCCTCCATCACTGGAGGTTTTTAAGAATGGTATTTGTCCAGAATGGTATAGGGTCTCTTGCTGGAGCAGGGGGCTGGACTAGAAGACCTCCAAGATCCCTTCCAATTCTGCTATTCTATTCTACTCTACTCTACTCTACTCTACTCTATATTCTACTCAACTCTACTCTACTCTACTCTACTCCACTCCATTCTACTCTACACTACCCTACCCTACCCTACCCTACTCTACTCTACTCTACTCTACTCTACTCTACTCTACTCTACTCTACTCTACTCTACTCTACTCTACTCTACTCTACTCCACTCCACTCCACTCCATTCCATTCCATTCCATTCCATTCTCTCCATTTCATTTTCCATTTCTATTTCTATTTCTATTGTATTCTGTACTGTTCTGTATTTTCTCTTCTGTTCCACTCTACTCTACCGTATTCTGTGTTCTGTTTGTTAAACAAATAAATAAACAAACCCTCCATCCAGGGCTGGCTGGGGGTCCTCAGGATTCCGCCTGCCCTCCACCCGCCCCCTGGCAGCAGCGCGGGCCGAGCAGGCGGGTCAGCCAGTCCGCCTGCCACTCAACCTCTCTCCTCTTCTGTGCCTTTGCAGAAATGCCGCCCACGGATTCTCCCTGATCCAGGTGGAGAGCCTGAAGGTCACCATGAAGGATATTTTGCAAAAGGCGCTGAAGCGAAGGAAAGGGTCGCAGCGTGGCGCAGGTGGGGACCGGACCTCTTACTATGCTTTTTTGGGGGGGAAGAGGGGGGCAGTGGATTTTATGTCTGGGCCTCTGATCTCGTCCATCCCATATTAAAAAAAAAGGGGGCTGATGGGTCACAGCACAGGGCTGAGCGTCAAATACAGGCAGTCCCGTATATATATTTCTCAGCACTATCCTATGACGCATCGTCTTCCTTTTTTTAAAAAAAAGAAATACAATTATTTTTATTCAGAAAGTTAAAATACAAATTCCCCCTCCTGAAAAAAATTACAAGGAAGGAAGGAAGGAAGGGAAGGGAAGGGAAGGGAAGGGAAGGGAAGGAAGGAAGGAAGAGAAGGGAAGGAAGGAAGGAAGGAAGAGAAGGGAAGGAAGGAAGGAAGGAAGGAAGGAAGGAAGGAAGGAAGAAAGAAAGAAAGAAAGAAAGAAAGAAAGAAAGAAAGAAAGAAAGAAAGAAAGAAACCAAACGAATGAAAATAGACAAAACATCTCCGCTCAGCACTGTCCTGGGACCCCAATTGTCTTCCCAAATGGCCCGTGCCCCCCACCCTCTGGGGAACTGTTTGGAAGCGTGTCACACCTTAGTAGCGGGCAGTCCCCAAGGCCCGCGTGGAGGAGGCTTGCATGTTATCCTCCCTGCTTTGAGCCTGGAGACGCCAGCCGGAGTTTTTAACTTTCTGCCTTGTGCAAAGGGCACGTCAAGAGACTCACAGCCAGCCGTTTCAACCGTTGACGACTTTTTTAAGCCTTCGGGGGAACGTTTTTTTTTTTGCCCTTTCTTGGATATTTCTTAAACAATCCCATCAATCAGAGGCAGGAAAACAAGCGAGTCTCTAGAGGCCACAGAAAGACAGACGGTCCTCAACTTGAGCCGAAAATTTCTCT